ATAGAGTTAAGACGAATATACTTTTCTTATATTATTCTTATAATTATAAGCTAAAATTCAACGATAGCTTCGATAAAACGAAACTTTCGAAAAGTAGAATCTATTTAATATCGGGATACAAACTAAAGTAAGTAAAGAAGTATCTGAATAAGCATTTAAAGAAGGAATTCATAATACCAAGCCATACACTATTCGCCTTATCTATTCTATTTACGAAAAAGCTAAATAAAGGATTACGTTTTTGTGTGAACTATCGAAAGCTAAACGCTATTACTAAAAGAAATCAATACCCAATTCTATTGATAGATGAGGTTTTGACAAGGATTTAGGAATACAAATACCTTACTCGATTAAATATTATAGCCGCGTTTAATAAACTACGTATATACCCCGATAGCGAGGATTTTACTACTTTCATCACCTTCCTTAAAGTATATAAGTATCGAATCCTCTCCTTCGGTCTAACTAACGGCTTAGTCATATATTAATAATATATAAATAATATTCTATTCGAGTATCTAAACGACTTCTATTAGATCTATCTCGATAATATACTTATCTATAGTAAGATAAAAAAGAAATACATTTAATACGTCAGATAAATCCTCTAGAAATTAAGGGATATCGGCCTCTAGGTGAATATTCTTAAGTGCGAATTCCACGTTTAAGAAACTAAATTTTTAGGTCTACTGATATCTATAGACGGGTTACAAATAAACCTTATTAAAATTTAAGTTATTATCGAGTAAACTATATCTATTAACCTTAAAGAGGTGCAGGCCTTTATCGGATTTTACAATTTTTATCGACGGTTTATTAGAGACTTCTCTAAAATAGTTAAATCTATAATAAAACTCATCGTAAAAGAGATTATATTTAATTGATTTATAGTATATTAAGAGACCTTTCATTTTCTAAAAATCGCCATTATGAAAGCTCTAGTTCTACGTTATTTCGATAGAATAAAGAACGTTATTCTAGAGACTAACTCTTTCAACTACGTTAACGAAGATATTCTTTTCTAATATAACGATAAGAGAATACTTCACTCAATAGTCTTCTATAGTAAGAATCTTACTCCAGTCAAATATAACTATTAAATCTACGATAAGAAGTTACTAACTATTATTCGCTATCTTAAACACTAGCGTTCTAAACTAAAATATATCGATATTTCTATTAAGATCTTTACGAACTATAAAGACTTAATATACTTCGCTAAAGAAAGAGACCTTAGTTATTATTAGGCCCGCTATTTAAATATACTATTTAAATTTAATATAAAGATTATCTATTAATTAGAACCTTAGAACGTTAAGGCGAATATACTTATACGAATAGCTAAATATAAACTAATTAATTTCGAAAATAAACGATTATATTAATAGTATCAAATAATTCTTACCTCTAATCGATTAAAATTGAATAGCGAATATATCGACATATATATAATCGACGATTCTATTTATTATAAGATAGTAGGGGCTAATAAAAAAGACGAGTATTATACGGAAATTCGTAAGGCTATCGCCGAAAATAAAGATAAGTTTCGAGGAATTACTCTTAGTAAATACTTCGTATAAGACGAGATACTTTATCATTAGAATCGTTTATAGATATTCGATAACATATATATCGATATTATTCGAGAGATATACGATTAACTCTTCTACGAACATTTCGAAGTAGTATATACTTATAAGCTACTTAAAAGGGAATATTACTAGCGAGGTATAAGGACTATTATAGCTATCTATATTTAGAATTACTATATCTATTAAAGAACTAAGACGCCTCGCAATCGAAAGTATAATTTACTATAGTCTCTATTAATTCTATAGAAGCGATAATAAGATATATTAGTTAACTTTATTATAGGCTTACCCATATCTAATAACTATAATACTATTTAAATAGCGATTAATTAATTTATTAAGGAACGTTACTACGTAATCTATTTCGATATTAATAAAGATATTATCGCTAAGAAGATAGTTAACTTACTACTTAAAAAAGTATTTCGCTTATACGACCTATCGACCTTAATAATATCGAATTAAGACTCTTAATTTATAGCTATTATATAAAAGTCTTTTTACGAGAGACTAAGTATTATAGCTAAGCTATTAATAGCCTTTTACTCTAAAATCGATAAATAGATTAAATAAGCGAATTAGAATATAGAGCGTTATCTTCGAATATACTATAACTATATATAGAACGACTAAATAAAATAGCTATCTATTATCGAGTTCGCCGATAATAATACTATCTTATCGACTATCGATATCTTATCTTTCCTTATAAATAAGAAATTTTATTCTCGAATAACTTTCAGCTTAAATATTATTAACTATAAGACTATATATAAATATCTCGATACTACTTAAGCGAAGAATATTACGAATTATATAGAATAAGTTTTTAAGTATATTCGAAGTAATATAAATCGCGCTTAGAAGGCTATAGTTATATAGACTAATAAGTATTAATAAAAGATTACTTTTTAAATAGACGATACGATCTTTCTAAATAGTAAGAATATTACCTTTAATCGCCCTTCTCGTAAATTAAATCATAAGAGACTCAATTTATTTAAGATTATAGGCCTTATTAGAATCTCTTATCATCTAAAACTTTCGCTAAATATAAGAATCCACGATATCTTTCACCTTAATCTCTTAAGTCTCGCGATAAATAACCTATTACTAAGATAGATAAATTCTTCGTCGAAATATATCACTATCAACAATTAGATCGAATAGGTTATTAAAGAAATACTTGTTTTTAAATTAATCTATAGCCGTCTTAAGTATAAGATTAAGTAAGAAAATCTCGATAATAATTCTATCTAGTATAATGCGGATGGTGGTAAATTCGAAAATTACCAAGATCTAATAAACGACTTTTATAAGCGATATTTTAAAGAGTCTTACCTATAAAGGATTAACTGATAAGATTTCGAAACTACCTCGGACACCCCATTTTTAATCGAATTAAAACCGTCCGATATCTTCGCAATACCCTCATTTTTTCAGGGCCGAGAATCGATCCCCTAGGCCCATATCGATCGGAAATAACATCATATATGGCCTCCCGCGCAGGGTCCCCTTATTGACTGATACCTAAGCGTCTTCCGAAGCCATAGTACGTCACCTATAGACCTTACTGTCGTCATCGATAGCCTTTATCGATATCGGTTATATGGCACCCCACGAAGAAACTCACTTAATATTGAATTAGGGTTTTTAGCGCTTGCGGCTTAGTTTAATTCGAAAGCTTTCGACCAATCACGTCGTATCATTTCACCGACATTTCACCCGCTCAGATATGGATTCGGAAATTATTATTATTTATCCCTACGTCCATAAACCTTATTTTCGCTATATTACATCGATTTCCTCTCGGCTAGACTTCTTATATACGTTTAAACTACGGCTAACGACGTCGCTATAGTATAACTAAGAAGAGCTACTATCGTTACTAATATTATCCTTAAAGAAAGGTACCATACTAGGAGATCCCAGATACGGTTATTTCTTTACTGCTTTTACCATTTTTTCAGGCGTTAAGCGTATATACATACCCATTTTTCTACCTTTCCACTCATCAATCATGGAATATGATTTAACGAAGGGGGATAGTGTTACGAGCGTATTCTTAATACATCTCTTAGCTCTATAGCTAGCGGGCCTTAGCGGAGATATCCTCTATTATATTATACCTCCTTTTCACCTATATAGTTCGATATCTTAGTTATCTTATTAAATATACCTATATTAATATTACATTTATATCGATTCTAATAATTTTATAAACCTTCTATTCGCTTAAATATAAATTCGAAAATTATTACTATTTCTCTCTACGCCTATAAATACTATTTTTATTATATTATATTAATTTCCTTCTAGCTAAGCTCTCTATATATACTTATATCTCGACTAATAATATCGCTAGAACGTAAATATAAAGAGCTACTATTATCATTTATCTTTAATATCTCTTATAAAGAAAAATATAATACTATAGATTCCGAATACGATTATTTCTTTACTACTTTTACCATTTTTCAGATATCAAGTATATATATATACCTATTTTTTCTATCTTTCTACTTATTAATTATAAAATATAATTTTATAAAAAAGAAGAATAGTATTATAAGCGTATTCTATATCCTTAATATATTACTTAGCTCTCTTATTTATTTAAACCTAGCGTATCTTAATAGAGATATTTATTTATTACTTAATATCTCTCTTTTATCTATATAATTCGATATCTTAATTATCTTATTTAAAATACCTATATTAATATTACATCTATATCGATTCTAATAAAGTTATCGCGAATAGATAAATTAGCGTTCGCAACCATTAAAATCTCGCTCTTCCGCGCCTCTCTTATTAAATTATAGATGTACGTTATTTATAATAATAATAACTTTTTTATTCTCTATTAAAAATTTTAAAATTTCTTTTTAAATTTTGAAGCGCTATTTAGGCTTTCCGAATTTTTAAGAATATTAAAAATTTGTCTTATAATTATTAAAGCGCAAGGAATTCAAATATCGCTCACTAAAGTTCGCTTATTAAAGATCGCTCATCTATTTACTCGATAGCCCATTAGACTCTAATTAAAAAAATGACTATAAATTTAATTTATAAACCTTTACTCGTCTTCTATATAAAATTAAGATTATTAAAAATATTCTCTTTAAATTAATCTGAAAAAAAGAGTAATAGAATTAATAAATTAGTATAACTTTAATATAAATAAGATTAATAAATAATAAAAATTTATGAATCTAGATAAGAAAATAATGGCTTTTCGGTTTTCTGAATTTTTTTGGATTTTTGATGGCAAAGCCGGAGGGGGGGCGCGATTTTTTTTTGCCAAGTAATCTTATTTATTTCGAAATCGCTAATTGCAGTTAGCTTCGAGTTTCGGCAATTTAATTTCTCTTCCATAAATCCAGCACTCCAACCTTTTTTTCCATGTTTATGTCCCTCGAAAAAGTCATGGTGTACAGAATTTTACCAGCAACGCCCGCCGACTTGCCTGATATTATCGCTATCTTTCACGCGGCATTCGCAGCAGACCCTTTCGTTGGTCAGTTCATGACCAATGTTCCACCAGAAGTCAAATTGACCTATGACATGCACTGCTATGGACATGAATTCGAGATGAGCGAGCTCAACGGGCTACAATTGAGGAAAATCGTTGATGGGGATGGGTACGATGATAGCCTGGGTCAAAACTCGACAGTTAGACCGTGCACTCACTGGTACCTAGACAGACGCTAGCTTTCGCAAAATGGCAGTACCCCTATACTTTGACGGCGGAGCAAAAGTCGAGAAAAGTACAGCTTGACAAAATCCAAGAGTTGGAGCATCCACTTCCGAAGGGAACCAATAGAGAACTTTACGATGTCTTCTTTGCGGCCTTGAGAGAGAAGAAAGCCAAGTGGATGGATGAGAGCAAGGACTACCGTAAGTCCGAGTTTGCTATGACCGGATGCCATGACTTGATTTGAGTACTCTTGCCATCTTGTGAGAGTGTTCTGTACCATTTTTTATGAAAGGCTATGGAAAAGCAAGGTGTCCTTGCTTGCTGGCACGATCTTCCGTCATTCCATCTCAACGCCTTCATCACTACTTATGCTGGGCTTGGGACCGGCCCGATACTGATTATTGGTCACCAGTTCTCCACATTCTCGGTGTCTCACCCGCCCATCAACGCAAAGGTCTTGGTGCTATGCTTATTGGCGAAGGCCTTGCGGATGCAGACAGGAACAACGCACGGACATACATTGAAGCTTCGCCCGCGGGCTATGACCTTTATCTACGCCATGGCTGGAAGCAGGTCGATAAGATTGTGATCGACATCGGCAAGTATGGCGGGCATGGAGTGGCGACCGAGAAGCTGCTTTTGAGGCAGCCGGGCGGCAACTAGGGTCTGGTGAGTACGAGTTGGGAGACTGGGGAAGCTGGGTTTGGAATTTCGGTACCTGACAGCTCTCATGCCAGTCAGTGCTTACCTCGTCTAGCTTTCATTTAAGCAACTTTCCTGAAATGCATCCATCAAATGGTAAGCTCTTATTGTTCACGGGAATTGTTACAATGCCGAGAAACGCTCGCCATATCTCCCGAGGGTGAATTATCGGCGTAGTCTTTTCGCCATGGATTGCCTTTCTCACATCAGCTTCATATCTTTTACCATGGACGGCAGCTCCATCTTTCTGGGTGGTACGAACACCCCGAGAAAAGCTGGCGCCTAGCTGTTGTTGGCCCATACCCGACGCGGATCGGAACGAGGCGGTAGGCGGTCCTTCATCTCGATAGTGGGACCGTTGCTGAAACTTGCATGATGGGTTTTGCGCATATGCGACAATCATCAGCGCTTCCGTCTCGGACTACAGGCCGCTTAACTTTGGGTGTGACTACACCAGCTAAGATTGGGTTTCTCGATTCACAGTCTTACTATCTACCATTTGTTTTTCTCTTCAACATGAAACTAACCATGATATCGCTATGCTGAGCGATTTTTATCTTGTTGGCGACAGCTCAAGCTGTCCAATTTGCACGTACATATTTTCCCACTACTTCAACGTCTCACTACTGAATATCTGCGCAGCTCCTGACACGGTCCAAGTTGACCCTTCTTACGTCCAGAAATGCAAACTGCATGACAACACCATCGCCTCTCTCTTTTCCAGACTCGGAGACGTGTCCTTCAGCTCGTCATCACTAACGTCGAGATATACTGTACTAATGTCTGCTTGGTTGTACTAATTTGTTCTAAGAAGAGCTGCGGCGTTGAACGCACAGGGCTATATTATTATGTTGCGAGTGTGTGGATTACAGGCGGTCTCTATCCTGCTGTCCCTGCGCTCGCGCGCATTTGTATAAGCAGTGCCGATTGGAGAGACAATGGTGCAACCCTGGAAGTCTGTGATCGAACTGTCTTCTACCAAGGAGAACTGGGTGTCGCAGAGCATCTCGAAGGACGGGGTTGCGTTGTGGATTTACTCATTCTCTAGCTGATCTATTGCTGGGGTAGGCCTGTTGGTCGCAATGTACTGTTGTGGGTAGAGCCGTTGGCGGTGAGACGGATTGGAGACGTGAGCGGGGCTGGTATTGGCGTAACCGTGGTGCCGTTGTCGGACTGTTTGAGGGTGACCCGTGCAATGACTCTGAAGATTTCCTAAAAAGTTTCGCTCAACTTCCCACATCACTCAACGGCTACCCCACGACTCGTCTACATATGACACGGATAATTGTTCGCTATATTTTCCGCGTTCAAACTCACACATGGCACAGCCGGTTCGCAATTATCACACCCATCGACCGTAACATGGGATCCATTATTCTCAAATAGCTTCTGCCGCAAACCTTGACATTGCCATTCCTGATATCTATTCTCAACCCAGGGCGGTTTTAAGGGAAGCGCGGCGCACGTTGTCGGCGGACGGAAAGAGATCGTGGGCGACGGAGTCCACCCCTGAGGTTAGGATTTAGGAGGTACGCGCTTTGTAAAGATAGGTATCGTTGTCTTGGCTGTAGGCGATTTCACAGGTTGTGCGGTCCATGGGAGAGCATAAGGAGGAGCATTTTCTGCTGTGGAGGTCTGGGCCGGGTTTGGTAGGGTGATGGGTGTGCTGGGTAGAGAGGAGTGATGTTGGTGGGGTTGAGGTCGTGATGAGAGGTGGAACAGAAGGGAGAAGTAGAAAGAGTGAGTTGCTGCGGTGGGCTGCTGGCAATTGAGCTCACGTCACTGACCTGTATGGCGGCGATAGGGGCATTACTGGCCTTGGTGCCAGTAGCGGATACGTGACTGAACGGAAAACAGGGTAGGGTTCGAAAGCGCGAACGGAGGGAAAGTAAGTAGCACAAAGTGGATCGATCTGGATGAACTCGGCTTATGCAGACCTGCACCAAGTCCTACACCCGCTGCTACAGCCTGGCATACGACAGTGATTAGAGCTAGTACCCAAATGGTTCTGGATCCGCCTGGGCTCTTTACATGAGATTGACTGGACTGGTCCGACTGAACGAAAACAGGACGATCTGATTCTCCACCTCTCATATAGTACATGTTTTCATCTGATTGAGGACCTGTACGCCCGTAGGCACCTCAACCTCTAATTCGGTCTCTGTCACCTTGTCCATCGTTGAAATTTTTGGTTTGAGGCTTTGATTCGGAAGATCATCAAACAAAAGGGGGGACGAGGGGTAATGTGAGTGCAAGGGATCGAGCGTGAGAGACACGCCTAGTGCTAATCTTTACAGGCCTCGTCGTCGGTGCAGCATCCAGTGGTGATGGCTATTCAAATATTGAATAAAATTCCAAGGGAGTTTCAAGATTCAGGGGAATGCTGCGAGGATAAGGGGTTCAGCGTAATTGATGTGCTACCTGTCTTCATCGGTTATTGTCGATCGCGATATGGATGTGTAGCCTCAGGCTGACGAATAGGAAAATGATTGGGTTCGGAGCGAGGCGAAGCCTCGTGTGTGCGTTTGCGGCATCCTGTAAGAGACGAGGGATCTTATTGTCACTGCTATCATACAGCCTAACGTAGTCTGAACACAGCCAAAAAAAAACTCTGCCAGTCAACTGCAATTCTGCACCCTCACATTCAGGCTGGTTTTGCATGATGTATAGAAACTTTGCGCTTTTTGGGTTTCTAATTTCCGTGAGCTTACATGCAGAGTTCCTTCCAATGCCGCACTGCGCAGCTGCTCTCCACTCATTCTTAAACCCCGAAAAAAAAAAAAAGGGTAAAAAGGAAGACATTCAACAGTCTTGTAAATACTGGAGTTGATTGCTGGATGTCATTGTTTCATCCGAAATAGCTCTCCTCTGTGGGTAGAAGTCCAGCCATCACACCGAGGTTCATGACTCTTAAAGTCTTTGTGCAGTTGCAATGGCTATGTTGTACCTAAAGAACCATGACGCTCGCCGGAATCAAGGAGCTACAAATCTTGTCTCCTATTCTTCTCCTTTTCAATCCGACGTGTAACTAAACCAGAGAGCGCTTCGTACTCCTTACCGACCTTTCCACAACACTTCATTTCAACGTACCTCAACCTCGGTCAGCGGCCCGAGGTAGGTCCTATGTGCGATTGTCAGGTAGTAGGCTATGCTAAACAGGATTATGCCACCGAAGACCAGGACACTATAGTTCATGGACTCCGCGGTAGTCGGCGTTGCCGGTGGCCAGAAACTGAAAAATATAACGATGATCACAAATGCACAGGCTACAATGTTAACGGCGATTCCTAAAACCCCTGGGATTCTGAAAGGACCCCAGTGCAGACCCGTCTTTTGCGCTGTATCTTGGGAGGACCCACCAATACCGCCAGTGCAGCGGCGCCACAGAAGAAGCGTGCAACAAATGAGGTAGGATGAGTAAAGTCCACCGACCGTCAGCGAAATGACATCGTTGAAAGCGACCGAGGAGCCGATGTTGATCAGCGCGAGAAGGCAGGTGAATACGGCGGTGAGGAAGATCGGATAGAGAGGTAACGAGGTGCGCCGATTGATCTGTCAGCTGGTCAAAGACATATCGGATCATGGATACGCTACTCAGTGGATACCAACCCTGCTGAGATGCTCTGAGAATGGTAATCCACGATCTCTAGCAAACGACCAGGTCATGCGTGACGAAGATGCGAGCGAAGTCGTCGTCGCACAGACATACATGAAAATTATCACAGCGACCATTCCTGCGCCTCCAGAGTTTGAGCCTACGGCTTGCGCAAACACTGCCATGAACGGATACTGGGTCGGTGGCGTCGAGCTGATCGTATCAATGTTCCCGAGGCAGAACACCATTGCGAGGAGCATGCCGAAGCCGAGCGTTCCATTGATGAGCACACTCAAGATCATTGAACGCGGCACGATGATAGCAGCATTTCTAACCTCCTCAGATATGTGTATGGCTCCATCTGTACCAAGGAAAGCAAAAACAGGGCCCACGAGGCCCACAAAGAAGGATAGACCCTGTGTAGGCCACCCCCCCGCGTTTGTAAAGACCGTAAAGACCTCTTGCGGGGAGCTATGGGGGCCGAGAAAGACTAACGGAATCAGTATCGCGACAAATGCCACGATGTGGAGTATCAGGATCAGTGTCTCTATCTTTGCCAGAATACTGCTGACCAACGTGTTGATACCGAGACCGCAGATCACCACCGCCCAAGCCAAAAGGGTACCATGCCAGCGTTGAGGGTCATAGCTTGGGCAGGTCAAGATGACGACTCCTTGAATCGTTGTTCCAGTGAGGTATGAGGCCGACGCGATCTGTGCTTGCCAGCCAAGTACTGTGAGCCATCCCGTGATGTAGCTGAGAATCTTCTGTGAAGACTTGGGTGCCAGCATTGCGACCCAGTGGTACTGGCCGCCCGCGGTCGGCGCCCTTTCAAAGTTATCAGCGATGCCTTGACTCTTTTATCCTATCAGGACAGATACATTGACGCCAATTCACTTAGTGTAGTAAAGACACACAGTGTGCCAATCCATACGATTATGAAGCCGTATATCAATCCAGCTGGGCCTCCGCTAAATCGCGTTTGTTAGACGGCGAATTCGCTTTCACGAAAGCAAGAAACACACTTGCTAAGACCCGTGGTGAAGACTCTGCAGACATGGTTCAGCGAATGGCCAGAATCGGGGAATTTTTATGCGCACGAAAGCTGGCCTTCCCAGGTTATCAGGAGAGCACAGCTAAAACCCAATGTGGACCAGAACCCGAAACTCCTCTTAAAACATTAGCACGGCAACTGCATAAAAATCATACTTTGATCGCGCACCTTCAGGACTTGCTTTTTGCCCAGTCTAGCCAACTGGTCCTCATCGCCATCGTATGTATTTTGAGGCTCAACCGCTGAGTTTGCACCTTTAATGTCGACCTCTGAATGCAGGAGATCGGCATCTGTCGGATTCGGGAGAGCGCGGAACTCTTGAGCCTTTTCCATCATGCTCGATACTCAATGGAAGTGGGACAAGGCAAGGAGGAAGAAAATGTCAATAGTGTTCTCGAAGACCATGGACAAAGGAAAAAAAGAAGAAGATAAAAAGGGAAGCAAAAAGTATTCATAAGCAATGGCGGGGAATGCAGGATAGCGGGATAGTTCTGCGAGCTGCATAGACCACAAGCGCGGTATCTTGCGGCTGCCCGGAAATGCGTTCATGCAGGGTTTTGGAGCTGTTCTGCAACTTTCATTGGAAGATACCGCGGCCGCGGTTTCTTGCAGCTGCACAAAGATGCGATTGGTCCCTCCAGCGTGCATGCAGACCTTCAGACCTGCCTAGCAGGGCTGGGATTGCCCCACATATACGCTAGGCTTATTTGGGCTCCAGCTTGGTCCACATGGTCGGCTACTCAAGTTGTGTACGTGTAGATACAGTGTTTTTCGGGTAATGACAGCGACAGCGCGGTCCTGTAGAGGTCTGTTGAGGAAGATTGGTATAAGCCATTGGTACGCAAGGTAGGCGTTGATAGGTGTTCAGGAAAACGGTGCCACATATCAGACACTGGTAAGCGGGGTAGAATAGGCCTTGGCGATTAAGAGACCTAGTCAAGATGCGAATACGAGAAAGTTCATCATGCAAAGTATTCTGCCGCAGGCAACTCTAAGGGATGTACAGATACTGGTCGCCTGGGTAAATTACAAATTCATACCCTAAAACCTTACCCCTAATTACATTTTCATACCCCTCCATCAAATCTTGGGGCATGAAAATGTAATTTACTATTCTTTGGGGTATGAATTTGTAATTTATTAAAGTACGTCTTCGGGTACCCGGTATTTAACGCCTCTAAAGAAGCCTCGGAAGCCTTAAAAAGCCTCTAGAAAATTAAACCTTAAATTTATCGCGGATTAGGGTAAGTCGGGGATTTAAGAGCTCGCCTCAGCCCCGAAGCGAGATTTCGACGAGTTACACGGCGAACCCTAGAGGTCTTCAGTTTAAGGCTCCCGGGGCCAGTCCGATCTAATTTTAAAACCCCCGAAGATCTAACCTCAGCGCACTATGGTAAATTACATTTTCATACCCTAAGGAATAGCAAATTACCGATTCATACCCCATTGGAATATGAAAATATTATTAAGAGTATGGTTTTGAGATATAAATTTGTAATTTATCCCTAGTCGCCCTACATCTATAGTATCTCCTTCTTTATACTTTCACTCTCTAATCGTAGTTCGACTATTCGCTTCGCTTATAGTAGTTTATAACTCAAAGACGTACTAGTCTTAAAGACGCGTTTTTTCGCGATTTGATACCCTATATTATAATCTACTATTATTTTATTATACTATATCTATATCTTATTCTAAGTAAAAGAAACTCGTTTAGAAAGCTATTAATAAGTATAAGAATAATTATTTTTATAGCGCTATAGCGGTCGTAGAGTATTATAATCTTAAATCGCGATAAATATTAAGATAACTTCGAGAATAAGCTTCTAGAAGTACTCGAATATCTACTTATATACGTCTTATTATAATTTAAAAATAATCGCTATATAACTATATTAATTATTTAGATAATATTAAATATTTACTTCGATTAAATTATATTTAGAGTACTATTAAGTATATTCTTAAAAATTACTTTAAATTCGTATTATTCTCTTAAATTACTCGATAAAGATTAAGCTATATAATTTATAAAATAATACTTTAAATATTATAAATAAAAGTAAAAATCTTTTAATATCGAGTATAAGAATATATATAATATTAAGAGTATACGCGTAGCGTATAAGAAATTTTAATAGGGCTATAAAGAGAAGGGTATATAATATTAAAATATTTAAAATATAAATAAGACTGGCTTTCGAATTAACTATAAAATTATCTATTATATTATTACTTTAAATAAAAAGTAAGTCTCTATAATTTATAGATCTAGATAATTGTAATTATATTATATTTATAGAATATATTAGCGTCATAGACTAAAGTATATCTTTATTTATAATTTTAAAAGATATTTATATTCTATATAAATAGAATAAAAACGACTTATCTCTAGATACTATATTAGTCGTTTTATCTACTAGATATTTAAATAATCGACTAATATACGACTAGCTACTATATTTTAATATATTTTCTTATTATTATTAAGTGAGAGAATAGAGAATCTTAATTCTAGACGACTTCGGATTTTACTATATCTACGAATTTTATATATTTACTTAGTAATTAAAGATCGACTTATTTATATTTCTTTTATATTCTATATATATTATATAGCTATTAAATATAAGATACTTTTAATTATTTAAATATTATTATACGGAGATTATAGATTTAGCTATATATCTTAAGAGTAGCGATTTTAATAGACTTAACTTTCTTATAGTATTTAATTAGATAAAAACTTAAACCTTTACGTCTAATATTATATATTTAATCTTTTAAAAGATTAATTTTATACTCTATAACTTTAAAGTAATATTCGAAAAAATTAGAAATCTAATATCCCGCGCTATAATTTTAGATAAGTTTATATCTTTTATACTTATTAGAATCCTCTATAAAGTCGAAGACGTTATTAAATATAATTAATAATTTAAAGAATTACTTACTATTTAGACTTTTATTATTTTAAAAAATATATAATAATTATTAGCTTAATTTATAAAAGAATTTATTATTAATAACTACTCGAGATAAATTATTAAGCGAGATATTAAAGCTATTTATAAAGAGATCGTAGTTAAGCGAATACGTAAGATACTTTCTAAAACAATTATTTAGAAGAGAGAATAAATATTAGTAAATTAAATATATAAATCTCTAACTGTAATAAAAGAAATAATTATAAAAAAGGCGGAGAAGGCTCTAAAGCGAGCTATTTAAGCTAAGGAAATTTAATAAAAAAGGTTAATAAGACTATTAAGACTTATATTTGAAAGTTAGATTATAATCTATAGAAGCTAGTATATATATATTAAGATATATTTATTAGAATTCGAGTTATAGAATAAGATCTATATAGAATTAGAAAGAAATAATAGATTTTCGCGTCTTTAAGACTAGTATATCTTTGAGTTAAGGACTATTATAAGCGGAGCGAATAGTCGGACTACGATTAGCCAGCTTCTGGTCTTCGCTGCACCGCTCTCCTACACATGATTCTAGGTCTTCAGTGTAGTAGCTGCGCCATATGGTAAGAGACCAGAGAACCTTTGTAAATTGCGATTAATGAGGACTTGAACACAGTACTTTTTCCGCTCCGAAACCCAAAGCAAAATGCTCGAGAATATTGATCTCATGTTCGTAACTCAGAGGCTTAGTGAAAGCAATGCTTGTCAATGGCTTGTGGAGAGCACAGGTATTTTACCAGATTCTGAAGGTAAGTCGTGATTTGATGAGATAGTAGATGAGTGAAGTTGAGCGTTTCGGCCGCTCCCGTCCCTTGGTGAGAGTACGTATCAAAACATTCCTAACACTCCATGTTGTGCGTCAATGCGGATACTCGATCGCTAGCGGGGTTGCGCCTCAGCTGCCGAGCTCAATTGGCGCTTGCCAAACGGACTGATGAACAAGATGATCGTGGCACTCGCGAAAGGCTCAGCTTTGCGCGCGATAATTCTCTTGTTTTGTATCTTCTGCAATTGATCGTCATTCGGGGAAGTTCTTAGCCAATGTGCCTTTCTTTCTTGACAGAATGCAAACTATTCCGAACGCTGTGACATAACAGACGGGATAGAGTAGGAGGAAGAGTATGGCAACGGAAGTGAAGACCATAATGGCGGCTTGTTGGCGGGTCTGCTTAATTCGATGCCTTGGATGCTATGGGGTAAAAATGCGGCTTCACTATTATTCGTCATGACTGAGACTATAGAAGACAAAGGACAAGCAGCGCATACAGAGATGCCCAGGCCAGATGCCAAATCAGTCATCTCTTTGGACATTGAATCTTACCCGAGATAGAGTCAATGAGATCCTGAATGATGTAGGCTTCACACTTGCGACGATCATTGATGGTACTGTCGTTCAGTCTCAACCTCATATGATCATATCTCTGTAGACAGACGATGCAGTGTCGATGCCCCGGATGCTCGAAGAGGAACAGTATAGAGAGAACCAATAGGTCATTCGCCAATAAGCGTGATCTGCCTGTGCTTTTCGGTTTTTTTCAGGTATGGTCTCCAAGTGGTGGAGTGGAGAACAAAAGGCTCTGATGGCGAGGATTGTTCAGCTTTTCCTCGTTCTGGCGAGTTGTAGCATATTGATACCGAAGAAGAGATTAGAGCAAAGGATTGGAGAGAAGATTCCAGGATTGGTCAGATTTAAAAATGGTGCAGTTCCATTATGCGAATTTGAGCTAGAAGACTTATCGATCAAGCATCGCTGTTATCGCTTTCAGTCATCCAAGTTTGTAGTGTAATCTCAAAATTCCTCCAATCAGCCTCGCTGCGTCCAGCAATGTCTTCATCGTTGTAGCAGCAAGATAGTGAACGTCAGGGTTCCTACGTTAGAGACTTTGATTCTCTCATCTTCGTCACCGCAGAAGTGTGATTGTGTACACACTAAAGAGTAGTTCCAAGGGTTCTGTTTTGGGAGAGGTAAGGCTGTGCAAATTGGCACGTTTCAGACTTTACGCTTGTTGTCGCTCCAATAATCGGACATGGACCGGCCAATTTATTAGCATGTCTGGAACTGTTTCTTCGCTTCATCTATATTAAATAACATGGATGATAAATTCATGGCCGTGAACTTTGAATTATCTTGAGACGTCGAATGTGAATTTGCGACAATGGTCATGTAGCAGAAGGCCTGAGAGGTGTCAGCTCAACCCCTGTGAGTCCAACAACAACATGACTTCGCGATATTCGGCTACAAAGTTCAAATTTGGGCCTGGAGGCCTTTAATAAATTCTAAGATGAGGGTGAGGAGGCCCGAAGGCAGTTCAACAAGGTAACTTAACAACAACTGACTTGATTACCGACTGGTCTGTAGTGCTGACAAAGAGGAGACCTGAAATACTTCGAGGTGTGACATTCTGGCCATGCGATGAACACATTCAATTGCAATCGAAGAGACATTAAGCGCGTCTTCGGTACTTTATACTCGAGTCCTTCTTTGGAGAATCCGAGGGCGCGTCTGCAGTTCTCGGCTTCGAAGTTCGCACCAATCATGTGGTTCATTTGAGAGTAACAATGTGTAAGAAATTCATTGGGCAGTGTTGCACAAGGAGGGATCTGGAACGTTAGCGCTTTTGCATGATGGACCAAAAGGGGTATGTTGTATCATGTAAAGTACGGTATGGCGAAGAACAGAAAGGAAAAGGAAATTAAGGTCAAGCTCAGCCCCATATTTTTAGGGCTGTTTAGGGGCTGGTCAGCCTGGGAGCCACTTAAAACTTTAGGACTGAGCCGCCGCCGCTGATCCAGCTTACATGTACCCTAGTATTAATACCTAGCCTGATGACCTATCAAATATCATCATCCAATCTGCTTCTTCCTCTTCCTCGCCTCAGCAATCCTCCCCCCCCACCAATCTTACTGTTTGATACGTCCTTCTCACCGTTCCATGATCGATCCACATGCCACATTGGGGAGTCGCTTTGAAACCGAGTAATAATGATGAGTGACTACTACTGCAACCTCCGCCGCAGCCTACCGAGAAGGATCCTCCGCATGAAGTACAGTTGTGCGCCTTTCTGTTCTTGCTCTGAAGCTTGTCCTGTACAGAAGTTGATGCGTCCTTGTTGACGCTCTCGTTCTCATTCTCATCCGTTGATCCATAATTCTCCATTGACTCATTGTTACATACGACGTCATGTTCGCAATCGGCCTTGCCCGATCCGTGCCACTAAAACAACAGGCCCTGCGGGTACCTGCAGGGCGGACACCAATGATCGTCCAGCTTTTCGCAGCCCGCATCGGCACGCAAAATGTCCTGGACAGCGTTTCAGCGACTCTTTTAGCGAAATAGCTGGAGCCTCTCAGCAAGTACTAGGGCTGTTTCGGTGTCTATTTTCTAAAACTCACTGCGGCGAAGATAATGTTGCCTCCTGGCATCAATGTCCATCATCGTATGTCCCCATCCGACTCGATCTTGGGCCAGATACATGGGTCATGCGGACATTACACGCATATGGGCTGCTGTTTTCTGCTGAACTCCGTGGGTCTCGTAGTAAATTTGGTCACTTGCTGCGCTGCTCTGTCTGTTTCACTAAATGCTCACTATGTTGGCTACAAGGAGAATATCTACAGTATTGTCCGGCATATGGTGGCACTATCAGAGCATGACATCAGGCTTACTTACAGGGTCTTTCCATATTACTCGTCTCAGTTTCCTGAGTGTTCACTGCCTTCTTGCCGTCTTGCGAATTTTCTCAGTGGCTCATATATAGCTGTCGGCCGCCTTGTCCCATACTCGATCTTGAGTAACAGCATTCTCTGTTGTACTTGGTGTGCATTATTGTATTTTCCTATGCCCAGTTTCGACCATGACGGGACGACTCTCATTCTTAGTCGGTGCCATATCTCTCTACGCTCGGTATGTATCGGGCCAAGTCACCACAAGTGCATCGGCAGTGGTGTCCACCCTCAGCGGTCAAGCTGTTTCTGCATATGTCTATCCCCCACTTACCGTGACTGGACAATTTCCTTGGTAAGTTCCCAGTACTTCATGAGTTGCAGTGAATCCTGCTGAGAAGTTGCAGCTTGACCGCCAATTCGTATATGATCTTTAAAGACTCTGCAAGCTCGTCTGCTACATATCCTATTTGGACCTGCACAACCAGCTGTGGCAGTGTATCGAGTGGCGTTGGCCTCATGGTAAGCGCTTCAATAAATCCTTTTAGTACGCAAGGTCGGCAAAGGTTTACATGATACAGGTTTTTCCAGCCACAACTACGACCGGAACCTACGAAGTCCAGAACCCGCCGTCCGGCTATCCCGCATTGGAGGTCTCGGATCTAGCAGTCGTTACCGATACGGCTTTCTCGACACCCTCGTCGTACAACATCGAGTGAGTCATCCAATATACCGAGATGGTACCCAAAACGCTCTCGACTAACAGATCCCTTCGCAGTGGTCCTCTTCCTACTACGACAAGCACATTAACTTACTCAGCCTTCCCCGGCCTTACTCTCACGGTGGCTACGACTACACCCATACCAGCCGTAACAGCCACCCCAATATCCGTCCCGACCAACTGTCAAGGTGGCGGTGGGCCTGGAGCTGGACCAACTTCAGGTGGCTCATCAGCAGCGTCAATACCAGGGTCCTTGAGTGCGTCTGCTGGCTCGACTGCATCTGGTGCAAACGGACCTGGGGGCTCAGGATGGACAGTTACCTATGCTTCGGGCGGGGCATCATCCACTTTTAGTCAACCAAGTGGATTAAGCCCATCGTCTTTTTCGAGTGGGCTGTCGTTCGGGTCTTCGGTTCAGTCTGGAGGCTCAAACCTCGCTTCAACTTCGACTGTTCTTCCGGCAGCTTCTTCAGCCTCGGGTTCTGTCGGAAACTCTAACATCGCTCCTGCATCGACCGTAGTACCAGCGAACTCAGCATCATCCGGTCATTTGGGAGGATCAAACTCCTCTTCTGCGTCGTCCAACGCAGCTGGAGGTTCTAACCCTACTTCCCCCCTGAGCCGAGTACCTGCAAGCTCTGCATCCTCTGGTCAACCTGGAGGGTTAAATGCACCTTCTGCATCAAGCGGACTGTCAAGGATCTCGGCATCATCAAATGCAGTCGGAGGTTCTAACCCTTCATCTGCCTCATCAGAACTATCTGCCGCACCGAACCCCGTATTCTTCAACCAGCCCGCTGTGCCGAATGGTCAATCGTCAGGCTCTTCTCCCGGCGGGCAGTCTCCAGCTTCCAATTCAGCTTCAATCTCCGCATCAGCATCTATTAGTCAAGTGCTGCCGCCGGGCGCATCAGTGGTCACTTCTTTCGTCGCGGGGGCTGGCGGATCTGTCAGTGCTGCGACCGTCGTTCAGACTTTCTTGCCAACAGTCATCAGCTCTTTGGCAACCCTCACCACTCCCCTCGTCACTTCTAGCATCATCACTTATGGTACCAGTAGCACGTCAGCCATACCAGTCACCGTCTTCCCAGGCGGCACAGCATGGCAGATCCCAAGTGTCGGTCCAGGCACACCAATCTTGTCGCCTCCTACAGCGGCTCCAACCGTGGGGACCTTAAGTGTCAACCAGACATCAAGCGGGTCGAGTGCGGCAAGCAGAATTGGTGCTTCATCGGGTCTCTCTGGCTTCACGACGGTGGTGAGCTCAAATTCAGCGAGCTCCGATCCGGCAAGTCCTGGAAGTAGTGCAGGCTACCTGGGCCCTGTACCCATCTCTGCAGAGCCAGCCACCATTACAGCAGCCTTGGCTTCGCAATCATCTGTCAACGTCATCGGACTTACTACTTATTCCAGTACTACCAGCCCATTGTACGATCAATATAGCTCTGGTGTCTCAAGCGACGGACACACTCAGGCGACAGGCGGAGCCGTTCCGTTCCCACTATTCTGGTCTCACACATGTTGGGTAAGTGTTTCGATGATACAAAGCATGAGCTATGATTGAGCGTCGCTAACCAAGGCTTTTAGTTCTGTCCTCCGGGTCTCTGCTTCTTCTGTGGTATTTCCCTTCATCTCCCTCCGGGCATCTACCCTCCTGGGTCAATCGATCCTCCGCCTGGGTGGACAGGTCCTCTTCCCACTATAACCATCGGCAAAGACGGAACACCTTCGTATCCGGAGGAGCCTGAGGACCCCGAAAAGACGAACCAACCAACCAACCATCCATCCAGTGCACAAGGTAGCTCAAATAGTCCCTCGCAAACATCCATGGCTAGCTCACCAACCTCTTTGGCATCTACGGGCACCCAATCGACAGTCTCCTCACAGACGAGCGGAGGCTTCGAGTGCGCACAGACTGGATGCGCTGTGTGCGTCGACAATGATCCACCGTCCTCTTATCAATCCCCGACTTCAAAGTTGAAGCGCTCGCGACTGGTAGAGCGGGAAGAAGTCCCTTACGATGGTAATCTCTCGCCGCCGGCAAAGAATCCAGCTATTGTGCCTCACGCTCGAACTTATGCCAAAGGATTGGCCAAGCGCAAGTTGCCAGAGCCGAGCGACGATCCTTGGAATGGTAACCAAGACTCATACCTCTGGACCCAGTATGCATACGCTAGCTGGGTACCTCTTAGACGAGACGCTAATTTCCCCTCATCTTCTCTCGCATTCAGTCTCGCCGCGAATCGCTTCGACGTAGCCGTCCAGGGTCTTTATGGCTGCACCTCGCTGATGATCATCTCAACTCAGGGCGTTTGGATGTCCCATCTTTGGGAAAACCCCTCGTTCCAGGTTGGCGGCATCGTCAATCAGGCCAACTTCCAAGCCCACATCCTTGACAGGCTTGGGCCGGGGGATGGAACCGCCGAATTTCCTGGTCTCACTCAGTATCTCAACACTCAGTTCGCTGCGGACACCAAGCCAGTGGCCATCATCATGACTCCTCGGAACCGATTTAACCCGCAGCCGGGTGTTCTTATGTTCCAGAATCAAATCACCCAACTCTCGAACAAGGTCCAAACAATTTTTGGTGGCATATTGAACGGCATTCCGCTCATCGTCGACTACACCCCTAAGTCTGATCAGTTCTCCCAAGATTGGACGTCGTCTGGTAAAGCACTGTTCCAGTACGATCCTGTTGAGATTCGATGCAATGGCGTTCAGTGGGCTATGGTAAGACTATGGGTGGAAGATAGGGTATTGTATACGTACAAGCATTATTGGGTTGCGAGGGCAAACCAAGTCGTTGCTCCCCCTGCCAACCCGCAACAGGCTGGAAACCAGAAACGCCAGGATCAAAGCGCCGATGATACCCCTTCACCTTCCTGCTTAGACTCAATGACGGCCACTGGATCCATATCTATGGGCGTAATGAGCAACTCTGGATCTTTGCCTGCTGCGTCCGCTGTCTCCGGTTCAAGTGCCGAGTCTGCTAGTAGCTTGCCTTCTTCGCCTGCGACTGTTCCCGCCACTACCACTGCTGCCGGTGTCAATGCTGCGACGTCTCTGGCCGCAGTATCTCTCTCCGCCATTTCAACTGCCGCAGTCGCTGCCGCGAGCGCCGCCCAGATCACGATGTCTCCACTTTGCGAGCCTTAGTAAGTCTACGATCAGCTAGTTTGATTTGGATCTCGTTGGCTGACCATCATCTTAGTTCGCTTAACGCTGGCGGCGATGGAGGTGTCGAAAACTGTTTCCCAGCTGCACTCTGTCAATGCTCCTCCGGAAATTTTGCGGGAACTTATACCACGATGACGGGGACCAACCAATGCGGTTATACCACAATCCCATCCTCCCAGTGGAACCCCAGCGACCAAATCTGCACTATAGGCTTGTCCGCCTCCAGCCTTCGCCCAGTCAAACCAACCACAACAGGCCAATACCTTTTCACAGAAACCGACCTTCCAACCAGCGGTTCCGGCACAACAGTCTATGGCTGCACATCAACCTTGACGTCCGAAGCTGGTCCCGTAATGGGCACTTACTGCGCCGGCTCCAAAACTCCCCTCACGACCCTCTTCCCACCAATTAAGACCCCCACAGGCGCCCCAGCGGCACCGTCGTGCAACTCTCCTGCCAACCCTCAGGACGCCTCCGCACAAGGCGATCCTGATGGCTACGTCCCCAACCCTGTCTTCTTCGAAGCAGCCATCGGCGTGTTCTGCGGTCCAAACTGCAAAGGCAAATCAGGCTGCCTCTCAGCCACCGGCGAAACACTCAGTTCCAACATGGACGCTTTCAAAGCAACATTCTTCTGCAGTGACGCGCAGTCTGCACCTGGAGGCAACAAGACACTCGACTGTGAGCCTAATGATTGGGAGAATAATCCGCCCCCTTACTGGGAAGCGTCAGGGATTATGTTCAACCTGGGAGTCAAGTTGATAGACAAGAGCTGCCAGTGGACGGTCGATAGTGACACTTGTAACAAGTGGTTGAGTAACACACTGAGTGGGTGTCCGGCTGCGGGTCTCGATTGGAATGAGTGTGTGGCGTGGACGGTAGGTGCAGGGGCAGCAGGGCTGAGTTTAAGTGATTGGCAGGCGGATCATCCTAGCGGTACTTGGTGAGGGCATTGTACTGGAGCAACATTTGGAAAGAGTATGACTTTAAGCGAGCATTGTATGAGCGGGTAGAGTGATTATATCTCGCGATAAGTCCGATTATAGAATGTCGATAGCTAGCAACGGCAAAGCTCAAGTTTCAACGCAACCGGTAGTCTCGGTATCTTCATCCAGGCATGCAGTTTCTCCCCTCGAATGCTTTGTTCGTTCACTGTCCCTTGGAAACGAAGACTGAATGTCAGTAGTGTCCGAACAGACATTCATGCAATCTAGACTGGATGCATTCATAGCTAGCTCCGCTGTGGGAAGCCCAGCTCGACAAAATGAACTCTGAAACCTGACCGATACACACAGCCCTGCATTTCTCGTTTTGTAAGAGAAGTGGCCATATGTCATGCATGGAGTGAGAATTCGGCGGGCAGAAACTTCAAAGTTCTAAACCCAACAGAGAAAGGGAATTAAAGTTCCCCGAGTCTCACAGTGCTGCGAAAGGTCTGTTTCAGCAGGACTTGAAAGCGTTGAGGTTCCTCCTATGCCGAATTGAGGCCCACTTCTATTGTCACTGGTGTAGAGACTTAGGAGTCAGGCTTTAGAAAATGTCTCGGACTTCGCGACCGGGTCCAGCAAAGAGCCAATTCTTTCTTTGTGTCGAGGCCAGCTTCTGGGGTAAGATGAGCTTTTTCGCGTGTGTCATTCCATACTTTTGGTTTCTTAAGAGTGTACACAGATGTTGAGCGCGCGAGCAGTCTCTTCTCTAAGTAGATGGCTCGACGAAGTATCTAAATTGCAGTTATTTTAAAGTCGTTATCTTTGAGAGTGAAAGTGTGTTCATGTAGCATGCTTTTATTTCCCCTTGTTGCAATCAGTGATGTTGATATTCGTTCACAGAGTCATCAAGCAAATCCGATTACCCTATTTCTGCTGTGGGTAACAGCAATAGGATAGGGTATTCGCGTTGAACGCTTTCACAGGTGTTTCGACACTTTATCAATTATAGTAGCACTGGGTGGCGTGTATTGGCTGTGAAGAGGCGAGCGGCTACGAAGTGGCAATCCTTGCAACCACGTTTGACCCAATCACTACCCCGGGGCCCGTTCTCTGTATGATACAGTGCCTGTAGAGAATGTTGAAGGAGAAATCACAGGAGACTGAACCCGCTTTTCAATTTCATCTATTGGCAAGTTCTTCTGTGGCGTGCAATCTTTGTGCTTGAATATGAGGCTAGCCTTCACTTCTCCACTCACAGCTCTATGACAGATCTGCACAGGTTTAGAAGATGTTACAACACTTCTAATGATAGCAGCGGTGAAGTTTCAACGCTTTGAGATAATGTGTTGTCAAACATATGTATCTTTGACACACTTCTCGATGATTACTATGTATACTGCTTCCCTCCTGCTCTTCTCCAGTATCTCTCCTTCCAAAAACAGTCAACTTCACCAAAATTGAAGCGAAGTCTCCCGATCCCCAAGCAGCACACGCATTCGATCAACCGCTGCATCTCCATTTACAAAGAGCTTCAACAAGTGAGTAGACTCATAACCTGCTTTAAGACGGATTGTCTTTTACTTAAACGTCGTGTGGATCATACAGTGATGCCTCAGCACGAAATCAACTGCGCCGAGGCCTTCCCCAACGCATTCAAGTCTCAGAACGACCTTAGCAGCGCGGATTTTTTTATGACTCCGGTAAGCTTTGGGCTAAGTCGTCTTGAAGCTCATGGATGCTGACCTCAGATACCCTACCTAAGACATCCAAGACCCGCAGAATGATCAAACCATCAACATTGACAATGCCCTCAATACCGGTCTCCCGCGGACTCATCTAGAGGAGTGGACATGGTGGGAATGTCATCGCTGCGGCGCTGGGAATATTAGGTCATCGACCGATTGCCGCAATCCCGACTGCGGTCATAGAAAATGCAGCACGCGATGCAAACAGAATTAGTAAAGGGCTGATGAGATCCTTCGAGGCTGGTTCTCTGATATGGTTGGTCCCAGAGAACTTGCGAAAAGTCGTTGGAGAATCCTTTTATTAGACTTGACATCCTTTTGCTTTGCAGAGTGGACTCCAAAGGAGATTGTGGAAACTCATGCCACTGCTTGGAAACTCGTGCTTTGCTTGGTAACTCATGCCTTTGCTTTAAAGTTCCATGCTTGTATTTAGACACCTATGCCTCTGCTTAGAGAAGGATACATTAGAAGTCATGATACGTTTCTTGAAAGACTTGAAACAAGTCTCGATCAATGCAGCTCAACAAATGTACCGAGCAACATGATCCGGAACATTGTTCCCGTAGATAGCCAGCTTCATATCTTGACATATTTCAAATACTAGCAAGTTTTCGCCATTCCTCACCTTCGTACCAGAGCTGCGCCTTGTGATCTATTCCTACGCTCTCATCAGCTCACATGGTCTGCGTTGGCGGAGCATTCACGTCCTCACACCATACCAAAGCCAGGGTCAGCGGTGGCAACGACAAATGCCAGCTTCCAAGAAGACATACAGCAAGCCAAGACGTGCATCCATAGTCCCCGTCTACCTAATCGCCTGTCGAATAGTCTCTGGTAGGTTCTTGTATTCTCCTTGTCGTCGTTACACTTTCATGCTGAGGGTCTAGATGAGAGGCGTTCGGAAGGAATCGATAAAGATAACGGAAAGAGGTTTCCCAGAAAGGCTTCACGATCAAGAATTAGTAGTCTGAGAAGACGCGCTTGGCCTAAGCTATATTAGTAGCTAGACCACAAGACGTATGTTCGTCGTTATCCTCATCTGTCCTTCCTGCACTAAAGCAGCGACCTAAGATCCCTTATGGCTTGTACCGTCGAATTAATAAGAAGCCCAAAATCTGCCATGGGTCGGATCGTACGGAGAAAGATGTTATTCAGCCTATTCAACATACCGTAAATCGGTGCGAGAGGCTTAGTTATGGTAAACGCCATATGCTAAAGACCAATACGAAGTATCTAAATAATGTCGTGTATAAACATCATTAAAAAAAGACTTAAAGGATTAGGGTGAGGTGTCAATTTATAATTCTTGGGCTTCAAGTCTCTCATGACTCTCACGTCACGAGCAGAATTTTGGGTCGTCAAGGAAAATATGGGGGTTTGGGTTATTACTAGCAACGCCCGAGATGTGATTCGAATAAGTGCCAACAAGGAACACTGCACATATAGAATCGTCTGTTCTGTTGAACAGAAGTTTAGGGCGATCCATATTTTGTTGTTCTTTGGCATGCAGAGACTCGACTACCTATTGATTTGATATCTCAGCTCATGCAAGCTATCTTTGATACACCACTCGACCGCCAATCAATCTGCCACATCACACTTACCTTGCTGACTCACCCTGCGCAGCCTCGGCAGAGTGATGAGGACGGTGAAGCAGTTAGGCAATGTCTTAAATGAGGTTGGGATAATTGATTGATTGTTCCTTGCAGCGAGGTCTCTGGCTAGAAGGATAACGATGAAAATTTTATTTGCAGCTGATTGGCTGATCTGCTACATTGTTTCATGAAGGGTATAGTCATGAGATCAATTGTGTTCCAGTTATTTTCAATACCGCGACTAGTGGCTTGGCTCGGAGATAACCGGAGCTAGGCTATAATCTCGTTTTGCCACCCATCTCTCGCTCCCGATGTATGTTTCAAGTATCATCATCAGAAGTGCACTCACGTCTGGTGGTAAGTATTCACGGCGCTCCGTAAGGCTTAGAAACGCAAAAGGGCAACAGGCAATGACAACTCATTAGCAATAGAGCGACCTCTTCACGCAGCGTATTCAGTGCTGTATCATGGAACAGCCGAGCAAAAAACGTAAAGTCATTAACGACTTCTTCAAGCCCATTAGCAAACGCCCGAGTCCAGAGCTAGTCTTGATGCCTCCTCAGCCCCGACTGGAAGAAAATCCAAAGCAAGCCTTCACCCTTAAAGAGACGCCGGTACCAGGCTTGACTCTCCTGATCAACTTCATAACGCCTGCCGAAGAGCGAAGCATACTAGACTTCCTCAAAGATTCCGCAAAATGCATTTGGCGAACGGATCTCAGCCGCCGTACAATGCATTCCGGAGGCACATACTGCCTTATGCCACCCAAATCTGATACCTCGACTAAAGCAAAGCCTAAGACACTGCAAGCGCCGCCCATACCCCGAGAGCTGGAGTGGCTCATCCAGCGTATGGTAGACGCGCATGTCTTCCACAACTACCAAAGGCCGCAGTATTGCATCGTCAACGAATACACCGATAGCCTAGGCATCTCTGCGCACACTGAGAATTTTCAATTCGGAGAGCCGGTTGTCGGGCTTAGCTTATTGTCGGCTTGTCCAATTCGATTTCATGAGTTGACGGAGCCTTTTGATGGTTCTGTGCGTAGTGGAAAGGCTGGTAAGGCGAAGAAGACAGGCAGAAAGGTTGATGTGAATATGCCGGGAAAAAGCTTGTTAGTAATGAGAGGTGAGAGCCGGTGGAAGTGGCAGCATGAGATTGTGAGGAGTGCGGAGGGGAGAGGGGTGGGGTGGAAGCGGGTTAGTTTGACGTTTAGGTACAAAGCCGAGGATGAGAACCATGAAAGGTGATCTCTGAGAAGTAAATCACACTGATGGCCTTGTCTAGAAAGCTAAAGTATCTGAAACTTCTGCCGCTCTGTCTCCGGTCATTTCACGCTTGCCCTAGAAATTCAAAAGAACAATGGACGAGCTTCGTCTATGAGAGAGACCAGTTCGAGAAGAAAGAGGCTGAATCGAACATTCGGGGCGTAGTATGGCGTTGAAATGGAATTGAAGTTGATTTCTCCTGGTGTCGTTGTATATTATCAGTCTCTCGGAATCTCTGGCCTACTACAATACGAGTTGCGCGACCATCCTATCACAACATAATGCTCTCCTGAATTCTCTGCAACCTGCAGGTCGTTTCAGCAAGACCAACCACCCTTGCTCCGTCTCGCCATTGCGGTTATCACACCACGCCAGACCGCAGCTCTTGCGATCCTCTCAAGCTCTAAGGTCGTTAAAACAGTGCTCTCTACTGCAACCGCGCCTGACAAGTAGCCAACCACAGGGTCACCCATAAGTACGTCCGTCAACGTAAGGCCATGACCGCCAACATCCGCTCAAGTACAGTAGCTGATATCTACTCAAGTCTGGTTGACCTCGCCCAGAGCGGAGACTTTACGTTCATTCATGTCTCTGTCGTGCGGATCGTTTATGTGACCTTCCATTGAGGATGGGCGCACAAGATGGCATCTACCAATGGAAGAGAGTCTCAAAGCTTCGTGGGCGCAATGAAATCTGGTTTTGAAAGGACGAGCCTGGCATGGAAGCAAGGCTTGAAAGAAGAGCTGGCGAACACTGACACGCCGCTCCATGGACAGGGAGTCCATCGCGGGGAACGATTTGTTTTTTTTGAGGCTACAAATTTCTTGAGCAGGTTGCTGCAGGTTCTGATGATGACATCTTCGAAACGGAAAAGCTTTCAGGTGGCAATTGTTTGTGTTGTAAAGTTCATACTTAGTCTGAGTGATGTTCAGGATTGCATGGCTGATTGTTTTGGATGGCCACAGGTTAGTATGCTTCCTTGTACTCACGGTCCGCAGCTTCAGTGATAAGCGCATAACTCCACTGGCTAAAAGCTGGTTTCTTGAGCATATATTCGAATATATGGAATGAAACAGTCGAACGGTATGAAAAGAGTTCTTCGCAGGAATTACAACATAAGTCTACCTCAAATATCCAGAAAGACTTCAGCACAACTGAATTCCATGACCATGCGCTCTTGATCGCTATTGCCCGTGAATTGCCCTGATCTAGCGACAAACCCAAAGACAGTACCTTTTTCACCTTGTGCTGTACCTACTAGCCTGGTCGACCTCTTCCTCTGAAAAAGCCACGCCACCTAACAAGTGTATCGCCTAGACACTCTATTGCAAGCTTGCCCATCGCTCTGGCGTCCAGGTAGCTCTACACAGTAGTCTATCTATCTGTATCTGCCCTCACAGGCCAAGAGGCTGGGGCTCCCACGTCCAGATGTTCAACTACCTATTTGTTAGGCAGAGATTGTCCCATCGTAATCCTTCCCACTTGTAGGATCCGCAATGGTGTAGTTACCAAAACAGGCAAAGTCATAGTTCGATAAGGTGTACGCATCTGCTTGGCTTTGCAGGAAGCTGTTTATCGCGCACATCCCATCCGACCTGCCCTTACAAGCCCCACCGCGAATTGTGTCTAATGGTAGAATCCCATTGTTGAGGCGCATTCGGATAAATTTGTGTGTAGCATTCGCAGGATTGTAACCGTACTGGTTTGGATAGTATTGAGTCCTATGATTAGCGACTGGGGCGGGATCACCAGATGCGCATCCGATGACTTCAGTGATCAATCTACCACCAAACGGTGTAAGATGCGAGAGAATAAAAGGCCTATTGGGGTTGGGAGGAACCTCAGTCAAGCTTGGAGGCACCTGCAAAGTTCAGATTTAGTATCGTTATTGTGAGGGACAAGAGTAGATTTCTAAAACACATTTGGGGAGCGTGATGAGTAACTTGCTTCTAAGACATGGCTTGGGACTCAAACATGGTAGTGAGCGTAGAACATATTGCTCTGAAAGGTGCACGTACTCGGAAGTAGTCGAGAGACAAAGCGGTCAGAACTGAGATAATTATGTCGTCGTGACTGAAGTCTGCGTAGAAGGCCTGTCCTAGCGGAAAATCGGCTTCATTGTTATCGTAGGTAGAGTTGACGGATGAATTGGACGATGTAATGAATTGATGGTCAAGGCGGGCGATGAGTTCTTGTAGATAACCGATGCCTTGGGCACGACCTGTCGGATTACCGAAAGAGTAATCGTAGTAGTATTGCATATCCAGGGTATTCTCGAAGCTCTCCCACTCCTCCAGGGTAAAGAGAAAGCAAAAATCAGACTGACTAAGGTAGCCCATCTCGTATGCACAGATGCTTTGCATGGCATATGTATCGTTGGTGTTGAAGATAAACCCGGAAGGAGCATACTGTTGCATTCGGGCCGTGGCGTTCTTGAGATACTTGGGGATGTATGTAAAGAGGTCATCATCGCCTAGATAGCCAATCACGTCGTCGTTATCATTGAAACAGCTGTCGTAGGATGCTAAGGTATTATTCTCAGTACCGCCTTCTGGAATAATAACGACAGTGAAAGAAGTAGAAGCATTGGTGAGATTCGGATTTGGCATGGTCTCGAAGCTGGGTCCGAAAAACCCGAGCGACCAATTAATTTCGCTGTCGTAAATACGAGACTGAGATGTGGTTCGTAACACAGGCTTCGGTCGAACAGTTCCATTGGGGAAGCTGGCATTGTATGCCACTTGACCGACGGAGGCATTATACAGCGTCCTGCCGTATCGGTTCCAGAAGGTGACTCCAGCTTGGAATTCAGTCGATGCCCCGAGACCGGTCAAAAAGCTTTCTAGCATCTCGTAGTGGTAGGTATTCAGGAATTCCAGAGGCCCGGTGAATAACATGCCGGTGTGGGTGGAGGTGAAGTTGGTCAGTTTTTGAGCGAAACGCTCATCATTACCACCATCGTCGTCTCCACCCGTAGGAAAACGATTTGCATGTCTCTGTAGCGAGTGTGCCTGTTCAAGTTGGCAGCCTGAGGGAATTCCAACATCCTGGACACCGAAGTAATTATCGGCATTGTCGGAATAGGGTGAGATCTCACCCCAATACTTAGAGATAGTGTCCAGGTCTGTGAGAAGCTTTGTCGAGTTTGCTGTCTGTCGTGGCGAATGTTGGGCCTCGGCAGTAGCCAGGAACAAGGCTGTGACACTAATGAGTCGCATCATGAAGTCTAGGTGTGTCTAGCTGAGTGAGGCTGGCAGAGATAGAAAGGTGAACAAAGAACAGCCCCATCAGCCCCCTGGGAGATCCAGGTGATCTTATACAAAGGGAGTCGGCAGATCAATAGCAGATTGAGCTAAAAGGCGACGTCGTCAACGGTTTCCGTTTAGATGATAGTGTTGGAGGATTGTGTGCGCAACGCGCAAATGGAAAAGTGATGAAGGCAAAATTTGATTGGCTAAGTAAATCTAAAGCCTTTACCTCGGGGCCAGAAAAGGAAGGTATTACACGTGGAGGAATGAATTGGCGAATCATGTTGAGTAGTGTGGGCGGCAGGATGCACGCCACATGGAGGGGTTGAACAGAATTGAAAGACTGAATCCATGTCAGATACCGGCACGTGTTGCTGAGATTGGCTCATGTAGTTGGAAATGTCTATATACACTTCTTGGAGGTCCGCAAAGTAGAGTATTTGACCTCTGGATGAACACAAGTGTAAAAATTCTTTTACTCTGGTGTTACAAGTGTCAACAACCTTGTGTCGAAACGAACCAGGACTCCCGTCCCCGCTGAGACTAATGCAAGCCAGCCTTAGTCCACGGGAAAACCTTCCAATAGCAAATGGAGCTTGCAAGAAAGCTTGCTATAGATCAACCGTGCGAAGTCAGACAGACAGGCATCGGTTTTGGTAGAAAAGCTCTGTGGTGGGCTTGGAAGCGGTATTGTTTATCTACCCAGCTTGGCGCCTGCTGCGCTTTCTTCTGATTTCCTCTCATTCTTGTGCGCCAGCACCTGCTATCATGCCTCGGCTTCGCTCGGAGAACAAACTGGACAAAGGCGACCTAGAAAAAGATACAGCTGAGCTGCAAAGTCTCAGCCCGGTTAAGGAATCTCTTGTCGTGAAAAGCGATGGTCACACAGGACTAATTTCTCATAGACATTACTTTACAGCTTCTATTCATGATTCGCAATGGTCGTCATCGAATTAAAAGGCGGTCTTGGACCCCCTGCGCAAATTTGCTCCTCGACAGCGGCAAGACGACCGGCGTACCTAGACCGAGCTGTCTTCTCTTAAGCGCCCTGAGTCCATCTCCGCTGCATCCTGATCGCTTCCAATGCCAGTCATGGGGATACCAAACCCGTGGGCATGTCCCCAGTCTCCCTCCTCAATCTCTTCGTCTCGGCCGCCAACTTCTGTACTCTCCAATTGGAGCACCACACCACCATCATTTGAGCTCTTTTTATTGATAGCTTCGGTACTCCCGGTGATTGCTCGCGAAGCTCTTTTGTCGAAAGCCTTACTGGGAGCACTGGATCCTGTGGTCGTCTTCTTGGATTCTTCAGAGTCGGAAGTCCTGTAGTAATACGAGGAACGGCCGCGCTCGCGGACGGATGCGCGGAAATTGTCGGCCCCAGGACGCTTCAAGAGGATCAAGAAAATGGGTCGCAGAGTTGGAATGCAGGCTGCTATGATGATGACGTTCATTTCGATTCTGGGAACGAAGCTGTCAGCTTGCACATTTACAAGAACACCAGGACCTGCTGATGTTCCGCACGGTATTTGCTCACCCGTTCCACATAAGCAGCTCAATGGTCTGCCCTGGAAGACTATCAGCCATCTCGACGGGTCACCAGCACTACTGATGGATACTTACAAGTGATATCAGTCTTAGCCTTGACCGTTATGGGAACTTTCGAGGTCTTGACAGCCGCGCATACTCCGGCACTTTCAAAAGCATCAGTAGCTGATGTCATCCACATATAGGAAGGTGCATGACTTACAAGACTCCCATACCCAAAAGGAGGGTCAACAGCAACTTCTTCTGTGTGCTCAAATGCAGCTTCCATACAATGTCGACTGGGATGAAAGCAAGGGCAAAATCCAAGAATGCCCAGTAACCTGAGATGGTCCAGGATCAGCAACGCTCAAATGTTGACAAACAAGAGCAAAGAGCTTACTAGCAATGACCAGATCCCAAGTGTTGACAGGAATGGGGTTCCAGCAACTTCCGGTGCCTTCCTTGATCATGCCCTTGTCCCAAAGCGCCCTTGCGGGTTGACATTGGACGTAGAACAATGTGAACGTGATGACAGCTGAGATGAAGACACTGATGGAGATGCCTCTCAGCAGCCACTTTCTCCAGTCGTTGGGGCCTGCAATTCTTTCAATCAAAAAAGCCACAGAGATTTTGCCAACGGCAATACTGAACATGCACAGAGACCGCGACATTGTATTCAATTCCAGAGCGTTCGATATCTGAGGAGGAGTCAAGTAGTAGAGATGCCTCGCATAGCCACGAGCTGCATAGACACTCCACATAATGGCGACCACGAAGTCAAGGACCTGGCCTAATCAGCTCTTCTAGCTGGTGGATACTTACTAATAGGAGGTTCTTACAAGAGCAAAACAGATACACCAATCGTCCCACCAGACATTCCGCGTAAGCTTTATACGTGAGTACATCCTTCCGAGCACGAACATGAGAGAGAGGATCTCCAGAGTCCAGGTGAAGGCATGAACCTCGCCAGCCCTGTTGTAGTCGCCTCCTGGAGGCGGTGGACCTGAGCTTGACATAATGAAAGAGGGTTGATATATGATAGCAATTGCAAGCCAAGAGCAGTTGCAGCAAAATGGCTCAGATGGCGACTGGCGGCGAAATGCTCTAGCCTGAGAAAACGGAGGACAAGATGAGATCCACTTCGAACCCCATCTTCGGGGGACTACTGGTAGCTTTGTATTCGATTCGATGAGCTCGACCTGCTGCAAGAACAACTTTCCGGCTTCCGGCCATTAGGACGCTTCTCCAAAGTGAGATTACGTGGATGAAATCAAGACAGCCAATCCGACATCGCAACCCCGTGCGAGTAAGCAAATAGTTTGTGATTAAAAGATACGATTCCATGTATTTCGATCAGACAATTTCCAAGCATATGGGCGCACAAAGGTCCGTGTGAAAATACCAGGTTTCTGGTTGGTTCCTGAGGCGGACTGAGGCGAACTTCGGCGGATTTCATCTAGATAGACCCGAAACAGGGACCAATCACTCGGAAAATATGTCGTGAAGACTAATGCTTTCGGGTGTAGAGCCAAACTTACAACACAAAGACGCGCCATGAGTGGATCTCGGCAATAAATCGCGCGTATATCACATACGCGCTCCAGTGTCACGGTGTCGGAAAATTAAATAAACGTTTCCCTAACGGTTCGGAAATGAATTGCGGGGTGCATCGAATCTGATCCCGGTAATAACTGCCAGAGATTTATCTCGATGCTGTGTTGGTAATTATACTGCTTCAACGCGGGCCATATTCAGAGGATGTCAAAAGTATCGCGTAGCGGGCGTGTGGATTCGGCGAATTATTGACGCCTTTCTATTATGCAGCGTCATCAGACTGCTGCCTCCTGCTCATCGGCGTTTTGCTACTTAACAGAATAATGGTGCTTGAGGCGAGTGCAGTCGAATCATGCGAAAGCTAATTTTGCATCGAAAGCTCCCCTCTTCGGTGATCGTGCAATGAGTATATAATGTTATGCAGTATACAGCGCCTGCGTCCAGATTACCGCATGAATCATGTGCAACACGTTGATGGTCCAAGCGCAGAAGGACCTAATTTGATAGGTGGAGAGTAAAAGCCACTCCACACTCTCGCATCATGCGCCTTCTTGAAAGCAGACTGCGTCATAGCGCACGAACGTCCTGCTCCATGTTGTACACTTCTAGAAATCAACTTCCGAACATGGAGGAGGTCATGGGCCCGAAACCCACCAATCTGAACGAATACTGCCTAGTAGACCATAGCCGAAAGCCGGCAAATCCACTTTGCAAGAGATAATGCGGATTCTTTCTTTCCTCTGGTCCTCTGCATTGTCTAGCGCCCCCAGAGCTGCATTTCATCGTTATCGCAGCATCAAACTTGGAGTCCCCAACGAGATCAATGTCGAACATTTGTTTCATTTCCGCCAACCATTCACGCTAGTTCGGGAACAAAGCAGGGCTCAATCCGAACTGAGAGCCCGAGATGGGATTCGACCAATTGCATTCTCTCTGCAGCGCGCCTGCCGCCTCAAAAATACTTGCACACGACCCCCTCTCAATCTTTGCATTTCGCTGCATTCATTATGTCTCTGCTGCTTCCGAACTGTGAAGGAGCGTCGCGAATCGAAACGTTAAGACTAAGTTTCTCAACGAATATCAAACCTCGCGTTGACAGACCTCGCATCTACGGAGATAAAAAATGTCAAAACCAGCTTTTCTTTATATGCCACATGTGCCATGGCTACCGTTATGCCAGAGGATGAAGAGTCAATAACGTACTGAATCATATTGATCACATGGGATAGCGGGTCCCAACCTATAGAGGCCTGCTGAACAAAATCGACGAGATCTAATAGGCTGCGAGACCAATGCACAACTTGACACTTCTTGCATTCATACGGTTGGATCCGAGATGCAACATTCTAGCGTGGTATAGAGAAACCTTTTTTTTTTTTTTTTATTTTTTTTATAATTTTTTTTTTTTTTTTTTTTTTTTTTTTTTTTTTTTTTGTTTTTTCTTTTTTTTTTTTCTTTTTATAAAAAATATTTATTTTTTTAATTTTTTTTTTTTATTTTTTTTTTTTTTTTTTTATATTTTTTTTTTTTTTTTATTTTTTTTTTTTTTTTTATATTTTATTTTTTTTTTTTTTTATAAATTTTTTTTTTTTTTTTTTTTTTTATTTTTAAATTAATAAAAAAAATATTTTATAAAATAAAAAATTTTTATATATAATATTTAATTTTTTTTTTTTTTAAAAATTTATAAAAAATTTTTTTTTTTTATATAAAAATTTTTTTTTTTTATAAAAAAAAAAAAAATTAAAAAAAAAAATTTTTTTAAAAAAAAAAAAAAAAATTTTTTTTTTTAATTTTTTTTTTTTTTTTTTTTTTTATTATTTTTAAATTATTTATTTTTTTATAATTTAAAAAATAAAAATTTTTAATTTTTTTTAAAAAATTAAAAAAATTATTATAAATAAAAAATAAAAAAATTAAAAAAAAAAATTTTTTTTTTTTTTTATTTTTTTTTAAAAAAAAAAAAAAGATTTTTTTTTTTTAAAAAAAATTATAAAAAAATAATTTTAAATTATAATAAATTAAAATTATAAAAATTTATAAAAAAAGGGTTTTATAATATTTTTTTTTTTTTTTTTAATTTAAAAAATTTTATAGAAAGCGCTATTGATACTTCTAATACTTAATATAATAGATTAAAGACTTTAATAGAGAGCTTTCAAACTACTAATTATAATATTAAAATACTTTAATAATAAAATAAATAATTTAACTAGAATATCGTTTATACTAAGATAGAGATATTAGTAATTACTATCTAGCTAAATAATAATAATAATTAATTATTTTATAAGCGAGAAACTAATAATAAACTCTAAGACTTATATAATAAATATCGCATTAATACTATAAAATTTATTAAAGAAAATAAAAAACTTAAGTAAGACTTAAAGCGTAAAGAGTAATAGCTAAAAAAGTAATAATCTTATATATTAACTAATTTAAAAAACTTCGATAAAGAAGATATAGAGGTTATATCTATATCTTATTAGTCGAATATTTTCATTAATAGCATTTATCGAAACTTACGCTATACTTCTATTACGAATTACGTAGAGAATATAGAATTAAATAAATGATATTTCGATATCTCGGATTTCTATAGTACTAATAATCGAATTAAATAGGATAGCTAGCGTTAATATCTTAAAGCGAAATTTAGATAAAGCGCTATAATCTTCTTCACTAAACTTAAGAAAATTAATTATATATAGAATTATTATAAATCTACTACTTATAACGTTATTAAAACGAGAGTAGATAAAGATATCTTAGATTTATATTAAACTACTTAAGAAATAATCGACGAACTAGATAATATATTTAAAACGTATAATAAGATTATTAAATCGAATATTAAAATATTTAATTCTAAATTTAATATAAGAGTAATAGATAAGAAGAAATTATTTAAGAACTTCTACACACGATTCTCTATAGCTATCACTCCCTTAAGATTTACTAATATCTATAAGATATTTAATCTAAAACGACTAATCTCTATACGCCTAAGATATCGGATTTTAAGATAATCTTTTAGCACTTTTCGAGAATTAATTATTTTTCTACGAGTACTAGATATAGATCTTCGGGCTATTAATAATATATTAAATCTAAAGAGTAAGAAAGAGATTAATAAAACTAATAAGAACTTTACTCCCTCGAATAATTAACGTAATACTTCCTCCACTAAAAAAAATAATAATATTATCATCGAAAATTTTAATATATAAGGATATAAGTATCTTAAATCATTAATAAATAGAATTCGAAAAAAAGATAGATATTTTAAGTATCTAAAGATTAAATATCGTTTTAATAATAATAGTACTCTATATAAGAATATAAATCTATTAATAAAAGAATAAATTAATATAATTCTAAAAGCCGTCAATATTAAGAAGAATATCCCCGTCGAACTACTATAAGAATCGAAAAATTAAATATTTCTAATTAAGTCGCCGCTAGAGATCTAAAAGCCTTATGTATAAAAATTAAAGAGTTAGAAATAGAAAGAATACTCGCTTCCGTCTCTCTATCCGCGTATACTATTACTATTAAAGTCTCTTTATAAAATAAACGTTAATTAAACTTTCGTAAAAAAATTATTATATTAATAAAATAGATTAAGATTAATTATCTCTCGAATATCGAAGCTTTAATATTAAGCTTTATAAATATATCTTTTATTAAAATAAATAAGTTATTTAAAGTAGTATTAATATAATTCTATAAATTATAACTAGTCGATAATAAATCGATTTTTATTTCTAATATTATATATATAGTCTTAATAAAACTCGCCTTAAAAGATTATATAGAAGAACTTTAATACTTAATTATCTTACTAAGATAATTTAATATTATTTTAGAAATATTATAACTAGAATAGTATAACTCTTATATATTCTTTAGATTTAGAACTATTATATTTAATTTAGATTACTATATATCTAACTATTTATTATATAATAAATCTATTACTATTTAGAGTAATAATAAGTTTTTAAAAAAGAACTTAAATTATATAGTAAAGATTATATTTAAGAAAAAAGATATAGTAAAGATCTTCACCTATATCTTTATTAAGATAACTAAAAAATTAGAGAACTAAGTTATTATTATATAGTTTTAAAACTTTAAATAACTTTTCAACTTTATTAATAAGAAAGCGAAGTTTACCACTAATATCGCCACTATCACGATAGAAGATTACGAAAAATTCTTTTATAAGCTAAGAAAGAAATCTCCGATTATAAAATAGCTATAAGAATAAGTTTTTATAATATATTACGAATAACTAGATATTTAAAATCCCATTAAAGCTAATAAACTTCTCACTTATCGCTTTATCGACTATAAAATACATCTTAAAAAAGAAGTTATTTCACTATCGAAGAGAGCTTATAGACTCTTTAAAGATTAAATATTAATTATAAAGAAATATATTAATAAGATACTA